TTGTGAAAGCCAGAATTGTGGAAGCCAGAATTGTGAAAGCCCGAATTTGTGAAAGCCGAATTGTGAAAGCCCGAATTGTGGGAGCCCGAATTGTGGGAGCCAGAAGTTGTGAAAGCCCGAATTGTCGAAACCCGAATTGTGGAAGCCAGAATTAGGTAGTGGGAGCCCGGATTCGTGGCGCCGGGGGGAGCAAGAAGAAACTGTCAGATGTACGGAGGCGGGATGGGACCTCATACCCCTTCTTATTATTCGCTCGGTTTACAGTCTACAGCTTTTCGACAGCGTTTTGATACAAGTCGACGCTCAAGTCACGTCTCGGATGCCACATTTTTTTCTTCAGTTTAAATTAAATCCAACGCTCAAGACGTACTCCATCAGGGTTTTCGCCACTCAGGGAGTTCGTCTGTCAGACGAATCAAACGCTCGTTCAAGGTCTTATACTTGGGCGACAGCTTCGGCGGGGCTTGCCCGGCTCGGAGCAGAAGCCTGTCCGCTTTTCCCTTGTCTTCCTGTTTTTTCAAGAATTTTATGAGCTCGAAAATGTTAACATGATCCTTCCTGATCGTACGGCTCAGGGCGCTGTGCCAAGCCTCCACGTGATTCGTCGTGCGCGCGCCAAAATTGCCAAAGTGATTCCACATACTACGTGGAAACACCGAGGCGTTTTCGAGCCAATTCTGGATGACATATGTTTTAAAAGCCTCCACGCGCTCATGCGCCGGGTGTTCCGCTGGGGGAGAGTCCGCATCTATCTCCGGCCAGGCGTCATCGATCCTCTCCAAGGGTACCAGGCTGAGAGCCGAACAAGATCGGATCAGCTTCTTGACAAGGGGATCGCTGTAGAACGATACGAGACCCAACGATTGCACCTTCCTCCAGAGACACTGATTAAAATGGAAGTTACATCCTTTGATTGCCGACAATGGGAACTCGTGTTGGATGGCGCGAAGAGTGGCCACCTCAAAGTCCAGCTGGAAAGTCAGAGGAGCGAAAACTTTCCCTATAGCAGAAGCGTGATCCTTCAACATTCGGAACATCCTACAATAGGTTTCTTTCCCCTTATCGGGGAGCAGGAAAAACGCGAGGGGGAACATCTGCCCTTTGTAGAACGAGGGCAAAGTGTACAACTGCGTGAACAATCGCGGTACTACTTTGAACGTGCCGTCGATGAAAACGGCCGGGGAGTCACACAAGATACTAATTGTCTCCCTGGAGCCGAAGCCGAGTATTCGATCCTCGGAACCATCGTCGAACAAAAG